TAGAAAGGGATCGGCAATACATGAATTCTATAAGAATTTTATCTCAAGCATAATTAAATATACAAATTTAAAATCATTCTAGGAGAATGCTGCTTGTCTTGAATACGGTAAATTCTTCATTTCAATAATCTTCTGCTGATAGATAGAGGGTAGGATTCTAGTACAAAGCATAGAAGGATTTGGATTTTATTGCTTCCTTCAAAAGTTATGAACATTTTTGTGTTACCTGTACCTAGGCATGCACCAGTTATATAACTGGCGTTAGGACATCCAAGAAAATTATTATAAGAATCGCTCAGACTTGCAGAACGTCTCGTTTTGTACACAAATATTTGTTCTATGTATTTGTTGAAACAAAACAACTTTAAAGTTAATTGTGACAAAAATGTGAGCATTCTTAAATGCCATAACTGTACGTGATAACTGGTCACCAGTTACATAACTGTTCGTGCCTCTTCAGTAATTCGTTAAAAACGTTCCTCTCTTTCAAGCTTTAATTTTATCTTTCATACAAATACATAGACCAAAAATTTGTCAGAATGAGGCCATAACAAAAAAAGTCATAACTTCGTGAAAATAGTAAATTTATGCTCGACATTTTTTATCATAGTGTTACTAATCGTCTGTCCATAACACAGAAAGTTTCTGGCTTTTAGCCGCTCCCTTTCTTGAGTTATTGAATTTCTACCAGTTTAAGGAAAGGAAAAACATCTTTTTAACAAAGCGTTACTTTACATACCTTTCCTTAAACTAGTAGAAATTCAATAACTCAAGAAAGGGAGTGGCTAAAAGCCAGAAACTTTCTGTGTTATGGACAGACGATTAGTAACACTATGATAAAAAATGTCGAGCATAAATTTACTATTTTCGCGAAGTTATGACTTTTTTAATGTTTTGTATGATGCTCGGTACAGGTAACACAAAAATGTTCTTAACTTTTGAAAGAAGCAATAAAACCCAAATCCTTCTATGCTTTGTACTAGGATCTTACCCTCTATCTATGGGCAGAAAATCACTGGAATCGGAGGGTTTTCAAGAATAGTTTTTCAGCACATTCGTTAAATAATAAAATACTACTTAGGGTTGACCAAAAGTTCGTAGAACGATGATGCTCGCTCCTCTCACACCGTGATCAAAACCTTTGGTCAGCTCTAAGTATATTCTGATAGCGCTTGAATTTCTCTATCGTCCTATATATTAGTCTACTGTCTTGCATTTATCTATTGCAAAAATAACTTGAGTACAATGAAGCTACCCTCAATTGACAAGTACGAAAATTCGCTACTTTTTATGCTTTTTCAAATTATAGATACTATGGAAATAAATCTTTCTAAAAGGAATTAAACATTCTGATAGAGCTTCAAATTCTCTATCATCCTGTATATTTTTGTTCTATCTTGCATTTCTGTGCTGAAGAATAATTTGACTATCATGCAGGCACGCTTGTCAATTGAGGATGTCTTCATTGTACTCAAATTATTTTTGCAATAGATAAATGCAAGACAGTAGACAAATATATAGGACGATAGAGAATTTCCAGTGCTATCAGAATATACTTAGGCCTGATCAAAAGTTTTGATCATGGTGTGAGGAGGGGAGGGCGGAATCACCGTTCTACGAACTTTTGGTCAACCTTAAGTAGTTATCACCGTGTGCTATAACAAAATCTAATAATATTCAGTGTTCATATTGTTCTGCTACTATACGATGAGCTATCAAATCAATTCACCAATGATTACAAAATTTGATCAACCTAACGACATAATTTCATTAAAAATAAAGAATAATATAACGAAGAATGAATATCTACGGAGTTCTCAAAACATGATGAAAGAAATCTGACAATACGCAATGACTCTTACTTTATACGAAGAACAACGTGAACAAACTAAGTTGAGTTTGGACTTTATTTTTATTTTTTTGTGTGTTAAAAGGTGATCCAGAAGTTTAGGCACATTAGAAATTTGTTTAATACGTTTTTAAATATTTCAGAATAAAGCGATAAGGTCGTATACGCTGCACATACGATTGTTTAATATTATTATACGTTCATTAGGGAATCGTTAGCAGGTTTTGTCGATGTAGGCCTCAAGAGCATGTGTGTTTTACGATACAAAAATACATAGACGGAAATCAAAGGGAAATGATGCACTCCTGGGCTATGACGATATTTTCTGACTCTAGTAGATAGTCCTGCTATGCACTATTGATAAAAATTTTGATTTTGACCAACTTAGGACACTAGTAGAGGAAGTCAAGCGATCTAATTTGCCGGAACGTCGTTGTATTTGTTGATCAATTTTGGACAACAACAATACCAGCTTTCGACTGAGTTCATTCACACGATTATTAATGGCTTCAAAAATGCGTCGATCTAAAACACAAAAAATACGACGAATTTCCAGTCACAACAACAGACATGAACTCACTTGATTGAGTGTTCGACTGATGCTTATGTTAGGTCGGTGAATTGTTGTCGTGACGACAATGTCGTCATCGATCTCGACAATCTTGTTGTTATCATCTGAAGAACAGGAAAAAAACCTTTTAGTCTATGACTAATCTTTAGACCTAGTGCCCATCACAACTCTTCGCCTAATAGAGATTAGGAGCGTAGATTAATGTGATGTGATCTTCGACGGACCTTTGTGATTGGTTCTGATCATAGTAGAGTGCGGTAGTCCAACGAGAATGTACAAGCACACATGATGCAAGCAGATAGGTAAGGTGGCAAAGTGAAGGCAGAACAATCGAGGATGACTCAGAAGCGTAAGAATGGAGAAAAGCACCACTGCTACACTATGAGCGTGGATCAATCGGCTATGTTTGATCTCTTTTTTATCCTGATCACACACTTTTTTGACTTTCTTCCTTGCTAACCTCTGTCCATAGTCTACTGTTGAGGCAGCGGAGCAGCACTCACTTGAACAATAGAGCCTTCTGACTTCACAATGAGAATTCGGTAGTCTGAAGAGATAAGGCGTGTCCCCAGACTTTCTGATTGGTTTCGGTTGAAACTGACGCACAAACCATGATATCGCACGTATTCAGAAAAGCAACAGAAACGAATCACTCCGGATTGACGTCCCGTAAGACTCATGCACAAAAAAAAGAAATATGTCTGTCTTAGGTGCAAGTTTTCATCCCAGACGCGAATATCATAGTGTGAACGAGTGCAAATATAAGTCTGATCTTTTTTCAGCAGAAGCTGGTTTGGGAAATACACTGATCATTTCTATCAGATAATACAATAGCATCTGGTATCGTCCGCTTTCAAAAATGAGTATCGTAGAGCATGATGACCGATAAATCGATCTCGACAATCTTGTTGTTATCATCTGAAGAACAGAAAAAAACCTATTAGTCTATGACTAATCTTTAGACTTATATGTTTTCTAGTATGTATACACACTAGAAAACACATAAGTGCCTGTGAAGAACTTGGCGTAGATACTTGGACACTGAAAAGTACCGATCAAAAAGCAACGTCCTTTCTACAGTGCAGTTTCAAGTACTTGGTGGATACAAGCAAGTAATTAAGTACTTGAGATCAATACAAGCACTAGCGCAATGCTTTCTCAAAATCCGAAATCTTTTCTTTATGCGTTCATCTTTCTTGAGACAGTAATCAACCGTTCCTCCTCATGTCTGACGGCGGCTACAAGATCAAAGCGAAGCAGGGCCGTAGATTGTCTATTACATTATTGTGGATTATTAAACTGTCGCGAGCGTGCATTGTACTCAGTGCAGCTGTTTATGTATATTTCTCTATCAATCGACCTGTAAATTTGAAAGCTACATTACTTTAGTAAAGCAACGCAACTTTACCACCCCTAGTTGACTGTCGATACAGTCGTTTGCAACATTAGAAGAACGAGAAGTAAACACAAGAATGTTACCAGACAAGCGATCACAAGCACTGTTGAAATAGTATACCAGACTGCTGCTTTTGCTATGCAGGATGACGAGAAAATAGCGATGGATGACTGACTGTTTCGGCCTTTTTCATTTTTCTCTTCGATCGACTTAGCAAAAAAAAGAGGAAACATTCTCTCTTAAACCCTGATCAAGAGAGAATGTTTCCATCATACTCGTATGAAGGCGAAAGAGATGTGACGACAAAAGAATCGTGAGAACCGAACACGAGGTAACAAACTAAGCTGAGCTTGTTTAACTTTATTTTTTCTGTGTTAAAAGGTGATCCAGAAGTCGAAGAAGTGGCACTCTCTTTCTCTAATGTCTTCATCATTAGTTTCATAACAATTGTTCTTGTTCAAATCCAAATTATTAATTTAGTTAATCACAACCAACAACACTCGCAATAATATTTGATTTACAAGGTAGTTTAAGCAATCGTGATACAGGTTTATTGACAAAAACAAAATGTCGGTATAATGGTTCCATTTTCTCTTTTGAAAAGTGTTAATAACAACTCATGATCGAAGGGTAACAATTTCATGTCGATTTTCAAAGGAGATATAATAAGAGTTGTCTGCTTTGGCCTTGATCAGACTATTCAAAATTAAGTGCTTTACTAAAAGCTTTAAGTAAGAACTCATTTTAAAAAGCTTCGATATTTTTTCTTTATTTTTGAATAGTGATGACGTTATATATATAACGAAATATTTTTCGAAAGTACAACATCGCCCTCTTTCAATCATCGTTCTGTCTATGTATACAGAATATAATCGAGCTATGCAGTAGAATTTGCGTTCTTTTCTAACGATTTATCCATTGCGACGGCAGCAAAGAGTTTTTATGATGGTTCACTTGTCTGTTTATCGTTTAACTGTAGGCAATGATTGATACTTATGCCTTGACTAGCAGAAGAATATGTATACTACTACGCTCCCTTTTAGATTTTCTCATTACATAGAGAATTACAAATGTAGAACATGTGATCTAATCGTGTTTATTTTAGATAGCACTGACGTTCAGTCGTTTGTCGTCATTATGAATCAGAAAGAAGACAAGATCCCGCTTTATTGACTAGTACTTAAATGGACAAGACTAAAGCCGAATGGGTTCAACGTCCTTCAAGTGCTCAGCCCAATTTACAAAGTCATCCATGTTATCAGTCAAGTTTATTAGATGATAATCGCGCACCGGGAACAGTTAATGAATGGAAGAGATCCGTGCTTTCAAGTGGAACAAAACATATTGGTTTAAGTAATATAAATCGGAATGCCGATGATTATGATCAAAATTTAGAAACAAAAGCCTACTTTCAATCGGTGAGTATTCTTGATTGTTTATCAATAAAAGTTTGTTTTATTGGTGTTTTTCTAGTTTAAAAATTTACGTCGATTAACTCTAGCAAATGCCACCAGCATTCAACAATGGGAAGTCATCTTATTGAAACGAGCAAAAAGTTACGCTTTAGTGGGTCTCAAGGGAGAAGTAAGTTACAAACTATAACAACATGTGCAAAACATTTTCAAAATTTAGTCTATTTATTTTAGCTCAGACCAGCTACCGATTATCCAAGAGTATGTGTAATTTATGTGTTGTAATTCTTTATTCTAATGTAAAAGAATATTTGTCTTAAAAGGGTCGACGATCATACGTTACGAAGATCAATGAGGTAGGTTATGAAAAAGTATATTTTATTTAACCATGTTATATAAATCGTTGTTTACAGGTGCTCGACGATAGCGACAAAAAAACATTAGAAGTAAGTTTTAATCAAAACATTTCAATTAAAAAATCCAAGGATTAACTGCTGATATGATAAAATTATTAAATTCTTTCCTGTATTTTATTTAGATAGAAGAAAGACTTAGTATTGCTGCTCTAGAAATAATAAAGATAGCATTTCAGAATCAAAAAGATGATCTGGATGGTTCGGGCTCAATGAATTTAGACGAGTTTAAGGATATTGTTAAAAAATGTTTAAGAACAAGAAGAGGAGTAAGTCAACTGAATACAAAGGAGAGATAAGTAATTACAATAAAACATGGTTTATATATCAATAGGCTGATGAACAAATCGAAGCTTTATTTCACAAAATCGATTATAATGCTAGAGGTGTTATTTCTTGGGATGAATTTTGTACATTTCTCCAGCTAAACTTTGATGAAAAAGCTAATGCAGTTAATCGAGCAAAAGAAATTACATTTCTTTTACCGGCAAAAATCGAGAAAACACCACATCGTTATCCCGTTAGCAACATTTGTATTACAACAGATCATCTTTATTTGGCGTTAGGAAGCGTAAGGACTACATGATAAACTCTCATTATCTAACTTTTTAATATTATTCCTATGATTCAATAGGATGGCACTCTTTCGCTGTGGTCGCCCAACGGTGATTTAAGAGCGACAAAATCGGTTGCTGTAAGATTTGAAGTTTCTGTATTTAAATCTACCATATCGAAATGTAACTATTTTTTAAGCAAACAGCAGGAATCGATCAAACTCTTACAGCACGTGAACGTCTTGAAAAGGTGAGCAAATCGTGTATGCTGTATATGATCTAATTGAATACATTTTTCTAGCGTAAAGATCAACAAACAAGATCTCAACCAAAATGGATTACAGACTGTTTGATTATACCTGAATTTAGCAAAGTAGTGATTAGCACAGGGTATGCTACTTTCTCCTGCTATAAAATCAGTAAAAACCATTAACGATTGTTCAAAATTCTATATAGTGATCGTGAATTACAATTTTGGGATCAAACATATTGTCTAAGTGGATCAAGAGATGTAAAATCAAATGATCTCCCATGTACACAAATCTCATCATTAGAAAGTGTTCCGATTAAAATACATTACGGGTAAGATAATGAAGAAAATTTTCTCCTAACTACAATAATACTCAGGCATGTTCATTGAAAAATATTTTTGTGATTGTTTTAGTACAACAGCGGATGAATTGACATTAATTTACGGTGATACTGATGGTTGTGTGAATATTCTTATACTTGCTGCTGCAAGAGAAACATTTCGGTAAGATTTCAGCTCAGTTTCAAATTTGATTCATAAAACTGACTATACACTTTACTTTCTCAATAAGTTTATTAACAACGGCAGAAAAAAAGAAAGGTATAGCAACGGTTGGATTTGAAAAATTTCTTGACAATTATCGTTGTGATTACATCCGATGGCAAGTTCATAAAGAATGGATTGAACATATTTATTTTGATCAACGTTTAAATCAAATAATATCATGCTCAAATGACCAATATTCAGCCGTTGTCATAGGTAACATTTGTATCCAACTATTAATTTGGGAACATTATATTTGATCAGTAAAATAAATGAAATGATCAGTAACAAAAAATATGAATGATCAGCATAAATATTGAATGATCAGTACTAAAATGATCAGTTTATTATATATAATTAGCAGTAAAAAATACATATTTGATCAGTAAAAAATACATATTTGATCAGTAAAGAATAGATTTTATCAGTAGAAAAATAAGTTTTGTCCGTAGAAATTATACTCTAGTGTAAGAAAAATAAATCTGAATGAGCTAAGAAGATATTGTTGGTTCTATAGCAAACAATTTTACATTAATTGAGGAAGTATCTCGTTCAATTGATCAATTACTAGCAATATTTGATGCTATCGTTAAAAATCTTGACAAAACGTGACTTTCTCTAAACGTTCCATCATCTTTAATTGTTTTATTGGTTGCCTCTAAGGCCTTGTTTGTACTTGGTGCATAAAGTTGTAAAACTTCGTACGAACCATCATTTGGTTTAAGCCATTCATTATCAAGATAGTTCAAAAAATCTAAGATTGCTTGGTCTGTTTGTGTGTTGTTCATTTTCCATTTCTTCATAAATAATGTTGATACTAATTTAAATATAACTGTAGAATTACATAATTAAACCATTTCAATATCTTCCAGTATTTCTTTTGCAATATCTTTATCATTTATATGACATATACAATTTTCAACATTTCTTTTCATATGTGCCCAACACATTATTTCATTATAAGAATTGCCCAAAACAATTTTGAAACCATTTTTAATTGAATCAGCGGCATCGGATATTAAAGCTGTTGGTTTCAATAAATCTTTGTTAATTTTTTGCATACTTATCTGAATACTACTGAAGATAAATTGAAAATCTTCGGTTTTTCATTTGAACATATTGCTAAATCAAATGAATGAAATGCTTTATTCAAATCAGTTATTTCAATAACTAGTACTGGAAAATCTTGCCATACCAATTTATAAGTAGCATCAGCATGTATATGCACCGATTGCAATGTTGAGCAAACGAACAGATGATATAAACATACGAAATTTATTTTCACCATCATCTTCTACATCTTCATCGTCTTCATATTCCTCATCATTATATAATATTGTATTGTTTCATTGTTTCATTTCCATTTATTCCATAATTTTCTTCGACAATCTCTTCATCTGATGTATCACTTTCATATTGAGCAACTTGTACCACTTCCATTGTTATACCACGTAAGCAATTGTGTAGGTTACCGCATGTTTTATTTGAACTAAAACCGGTCTATTTATAGTCCGGAGCGGCAAACGAATACATGCATACAAAAGAAAACAAAGAGAAAGTAATTACTAGGACCTGGAAAAGATAGTACGAACACAGAGATATGGAGTATATAGAGTGAATACAACATCTGGGGTTATATGACGGGTATAGTGATATTATGATCTATTCGAAGGTGAAGATCACAACATCCATCTTTTTTACTTCTTGACACTAACGAGGAAAGGATACCAACTGTCTAATCGCTTTTAGGCAAAGACTCACTGGACAATAGGTAATCAGGTGTGCTGAATCCGAATATGACAATGGTTTTTGCTGCTCGGCCATGGAAGACTGAGTTTTCTAGAAAACCAGAGTTTAAGATTGAAAACCTTTTTGCGGTCAAACATTTTTGATGCGTTCAAATGCAAGAGCACATCGAAAAACCTATGAAAAACTACTTTTCAAAATTTTTGGAGGGTTTTGGAGCGGTTTGTATAGGTCAAAATCTAAAATACAGGCGGAAA